CACATCCATGTGTACTAGTGCAAGTGGTGCCTTGGCTGGTCCTGTGCTGCTGCTGAAGGGAAACTTCGTGAATTTGGTCTCAAGGCAGGTAGGGCAGCTCCCAATCTCCTTCGCTCCCCCCTTCACCTCCAGCCCCTTCAAGCACCCATCCTTTACCAACTTCTGCAGCATAGGAATGTTCACATGGCACAGCCTCTCATGCCACGTCTCCCAATCAGCCTCACCACTCCCAGATGAAGCCTTTGCCCATGCAGCTGTCGCATCCACACCAGCAAGCACCTCACCATATGGCTGTTGTGGCTGCTGCACCTTCTTGACTGCATCCAGGGCCCCAGCAGTTGGTGCAGTCTCCTCTCCTCCCGCAGTTGCTTTAGCCGCTGCCGCTGCCTTTGCCGTTGCTGGTGGTTTCCCCTTCCAAGGGATGATGGGCAGCTGCCACAGGTCCTTGATGCAGCTGCTCTTCTCCTCCAAGTTCCACAGCAGCAACTTCCCAAGCTTTGCACGGCAGCTGGTTGGGCCGAAGGTAACTTCAGCCTTTCTCTTCTGCAGCCGGCGCACAGAAAGAAGGTTAGCGGACAAACCTTCAACCAACAGCACATTCCCAAGCCCCACAAGCTCTCCATTGGCTCCCATCACCTTAGCATTCCCAACACCTATCACAGGGAGCAAAGCACCTGAAGCGGCAGCCACAAACTTGATCTTCCCAGGAGGTTTTACCTCATCAAGCAAATCTGCCCGTGGGGTCATATGACTCGTGCAACCTGAATCGATCACCCAGTGAGTGAGGGGGTGCATCACAACCTTCCCAACTGAACCCACATCACCCCCACTCCCTTGCACATCCTCAACCATGAGGAACATCCCAGGATCGGCTTTACCTTGTGCACCATCACCTTGTGCACCTAAACCTTGCACAGCACCACCTCGTGCACGTTCACCACTTGGCGGCTTCATGCCTGGAGGCGCCCATCCTTCAGGCCGGCTGAAACACTTGAACCATGGGTGTCCAGCCTTCTTGCAGTACCAGCATGCACCCTCCATTCGGGTACTCCCCCTGCCACCAGAGCTCCCATGCCCCTCATTGTAGTCACCTCGGCCTCTCCCTCTGCCAAAGCTTCTCCCACGGCCTCGGCCTCTCCCTCCCCCTCTCCCTCTGCTGCCTCCTGCAGCTCCATACCCCTCAGCAGTTTTGTTGGCAGCACCACCTCCAGTGTGGCGCCTGCGGAAGTCCTCCTGCAGGATCTGCTGCCGTAGCCACTCACGCGTCCATTTGTCCTGCTGAACGTTGAGGGTGGGGATAAGGTTGTCCCACGAGTTGTCGAGCACCGAGATGATCTTGGTGCACTGTTGCATCTACGACACTTCGCTGCCCGCCGCTGCCATCCTCGCATAGGTGTCCTTGATCTTGTCAAGGACCGGCTTCACATCATCTCCCGGCCGCATGGAGAGGGCAGCCAACTCCTTCTCCAATACGATCACCATCGGCAGCGTGTTGGGTTGAACCACGTCGCGTAGCAGCTTCCACGCCTTCGGTCCCGAGTCATCGAGCTCCACCAAATCCTTGATATGCTGGAACATGTTGTTGTTGACCGACTGTAGAATCAAGTCGTACAGCACCGCGCTCTGCTCAATCCACCGATCGCGGGCATCTCCTTCCTCCGGCATCTTCTCTTCTCCCATAGCCAATTTTAGCAGCTTGTAGCGCTTGAAGGCGCTCCTCATCCGCCCACTCCATTCCTCATAGTTTGAGCCATCCAATGCCTCAATCTTGGATGGTGGCGGCTCACTCTTCTTCTCAGCTGCTTCTCCACTCCCTTGACTCATCTCCTCTTCTCCCAATCAGAGGTTTCAGCTCCCCCTTTTGCTGGTCAATATGTAGATCCACACAATCTTCACAACTGTCGGCGCCAACGAAATTTCGGCAGGGTTTCCCCTTAACGGAAGTCACATCCAACCTCTAGAACTCCACTTAGGCACGCCCACATGCCATGGTGGGTCTAGGAGGGTCTTCACACTTCAGTAGACTCTCCACAAAGTCCTTAATCAGCTCTGATACCACTTTTTAGAGACTAAGGATCGAGTCTGTGAAGATTAGGAGCCTAAATTTCTCAAAATCGTTGGCTTGAAATTCTGGACAGAAACCGCGACTTCACAAGAAACGTTGTCGACGAAAAGTGTACAGTTAGAATCGTCTCAACCTCGAGTATGTTATAGCCCTTGTTGGTGGCTATCATTCCCAATTTGAATCGTATCGAAAGGTGGAGTAAATCTCGAGTTATGCTTTACGGCGCACCAGGGGGTATGCTGCCACATAGAAATTAAATTCACTCACAATAGTTTCACAAGTTCACAAGAGTTGCACACAAGAGAGATAGAGTAGCACTAAACCAGGTGGGAGGAAAGAGGAGGACGAGAGGGAAGGTCCCAAGGAGTCCCCAACCAAAGAAAACTCCATGCCACACAATTCCCTTCCCCATAGGCAACCCAACTTTGACCTTTGTCACCATCCCAACCTCCACAATCCACCTCAACCCAACTTGGCCACACTTGCCAACCTGGTTTGGTTTCTCCCAACCAATTGGCAGCAACTACGGTAGTAGTGACGAATTTCCCAACCCCCAAAAGTCTGTACCCCATATTGAGTCAACCCCACAACTCCCCATGGTCACCACAACCAAATATCAAAAGCATACGAACTCCAACGTTCGTAACTTTATTGTTTGTGCTCCGATTGAAGTGATTCTTGGTTCGTCGGAAAGCTCTTGAGCAGTGGAGTCACTTCAGATATCTGCTCAAGCCAAATAACATTCACACACACTCAGAAAATCCAAACCGCACAAAACACAAATTCTTGCACACACTCACAACACGCATGCAACGCACGAACATATGATGGGAGGCAGACAGACGTGAATGCGAATGGTAGCATCACTCAACAAACTCGAGGAGTGAGGAGCGGCGCGCTGCCGCCCCTCAACGCAAGGAACGCAGGTAGGGGTAGGCCCCGGGGGAAGGGGAGGGAGAGACCGAGGAAGACCAGTGACAAGGACACGGGAGGCCATGCCTCGGAGACGAGGCAAGGAGGGGTGACCAAGGCGGTGGTGCCAGAGGAGAGTCTGGTGAGACAGGAGGCGACACGAGCAGGGGGCAGACTCAGGACCAGACCGGGACGCTGCAGCAAACACCTGACCCGACGCTGCTACCTGACCAGACTCAGCAACCGGAGGAGACACGGTATTCAGGGTGTACAGGCTCGACCCAGGCTGACGGGTGAACGTGGCCAGGTGCCGGCCCGTCCCAGTACACGAACAGTGGTTCACCCGCTGACCGCCAGGAGTGAACTGGTCAACCCACGCGTCCTGAAGGTCAGCTCCACTCACCAAGTTTGTGGAGAACGAGGGGAGGCGGAGGCCAGACAGAGAGCCAGACGGGACCGCCGAACACGGCAGTACCGTGGAGGAGTGTGCAAGGACCGGACCCCCCGAGGGGTCAGCCAGGGAGACTGCCACTGGCCGACTGAGCGGCGAGAGTGTGGTGCAGTTTCGAAAGAAGGAGCGGGAAGCACCCGAGTCAAGGGTGAAAGTGTGCAAGACCTTAGCCGACGCGGTACCTGAGAGAGCAGACTCACCAGCACCTGGAGCAGCAGATTCACGAGCACCTAGAGCAGCAGCCTCAATGCCCGGGTCGGGCGGAACACACAGGTAACAGTCACCCTCAGCACTAATAGCCACAACATACATAGCAGCAAGGATAGCATAATAGTCAAAATCAAAGATAGCAACCCCCGACCTTAGCAGATCACCCCAGCGAGGGAGCTCCGTGGCATCAGGAAATTGGGCACGCCAGGCGTCAGTCAGGCGGCCAAAACAGCGCTGCGTGGTGTGCGGCCCTCCGCACGTCTCCCCACTGCACTCGCCGATGCGGAGAACGTAAGCGCAGGGACCAGCACCCCCAGACCTCCCACACCCAGCGTACGACTCACGAAGCTGCTGGGGCGACAAGGTCTCACGAGAACGCTGCTGTTGCTGGCGCTGGCTACCACCGAAGCCTCCTCGCTGCACAGCGCCACCCCGACCAGCACCACCACCGCCGCCGCCACCCCCACTGCCGCTGCCGCTGCCGCCTCCACCTCCACCACCACCACCAAAGCCCCCATTCCCGCCACCACTCCCACCCCTACCCCCTCCGCCGCCACCACTCCGCCGCCACCCCCACCCTCTCCGCCGCCTCCACCGCCACCACCGCCGCCCCCGTTGTCTCCTCCAGCACCCTTGCCCCATTTGCTCCTGCCGCCACGGCGCCACCCACTAGGAGCAGATGCAGAGCTGACCATCTCGGTGCCAACAAGGTCGACAGCAGCAGCAGAGGCAACAGAGGGCAAAAGGGGGACGGGGGAGCACCCCTCAAAGAAAGGGGCACGAGGGTCACCACGAGAGGCTCTTACAGTAGCTATACTCTTCTCAGATGCAAGGAGGCGCTCCTTGAGGAGGTCAACGGTGAGCGTGATGGGGCAAAGTGAGAGGAAGTGGTCCCTGACCGAGCGAAGGGAGTCAGGGAGCCGGGTGACGAGGTAGTAGAGAGTGATGTATGTTACGATGTGATCTTAACTGGTAACCAGGTTTAACTAAGGGCCTAGGCTAGAAGCCTAGGCCAAGCGGGTATCGAGGGAGTTGTGCCAAGAGAAAGTGAGAATGTGTGTTGTTCACTATAGCACACAAGGTACATATAGCAAACTAGCAAAGGTGCACCACCAACAACAAGGAAACATAACTACACTAGAGCTAAAGCTAGAGTAAGTCACACCCCCTGAAGGGGTATTGCAGGCGTTGTGAAAGACTATAGAGAGGTAAGTGAGGAGGAGGAGGCTAGAGAGAGACAGGAGAGGAGAGGAGATAAGAACAAAGGAGGAGGTGAGTGAGGGATGAGGAGAGGAGGTGGGGGGGTGACTGCGGCGTCCCCTCTTACTAACCTCCTTTTACACAGGGGGGGTTGAGTGGGGGATGAGGAGTGGAGGTGGGGGGGTGGCCGCAGCGTCCCCTCTTACTAATCCCCACATCCCCACCCCCAATCAACCAACCCCCTGTAACCTCACCCCCCATTTCAACCGCCCCCTGGAACCGCACTCCCTCCCCCCTTTTCTTCCTCAAGACCCCTCCCCACCCACGACGATCCCTGTCCTGTTCTTCACAGGTAAGGCTGCTGGTCACAGGTGGGGCTGTTGGTCACAAGTGGGGCTGCTGGTCACAGGTGGGGCTGCTGGTCACATGTGGGGCTGCTGGTCACAGGTGGGGCTGCTGGTCACAAGTGGGGCTGCTGGTCACAGGTGGGGCTGCTGGTCACAGGTGGGGCTGCTGGTCACAGGTGGGGCTGCTGGTCACAGGTGGGGCTGCTGGTCACAGGTGGGGCTGCTGGTCACAGGTGGGGCTGCTGGTCACAGGTGGGGCTGCTGGTCACAGGTGGGGCTGCTGGTCACAGGTGGGGCTGCTGGTCACAGGTGGGGCTGCTGGTCACAGGTGGGGCTGGTGGTCACGGGTGGGGCTGCTGGTCACGGGTGGGGCTGCTGGTCACGGGTGGGGCTGCTAGTCACGGGTGGGGTTGCTGGTCACAGGTGGGGCTGCTGGTCACAGGTGGGGCAACTGGTCACAGGTGGGGCTGCTGGTCACAGGTGCCTGGTGCTGGCGGCTGGCGCTGGTGCTGGTGCCTGGTGCTGGCGTGTGGCGCTGGTGCTGGTGCCTGGTGCTGGCGGCTGGCGCTGGTGCTGGTGCCTGGTGCTGGCGGCTGGCGCTCGTGCTGGTGCCTGGTGCTGGCGGCTGGCGCTGTTGCCGGTGCCTGGTGCTGGCAGTTGGCGCTGGTGCTGGTGCCTGGTGCTGGCGGCTGGCGCTGGGGCCTGGTGCTAGCGGCTGGCGCTGGTGCTGGTGCCTGGTGCTGGCGGCTGGCGCTCGTGCTGGTGCCTGACGGCTGGCGCTGGTCCTGGTGGCTGGTGCTGGCGTAACGGCGCTGGTGCCGGTGCTGGTGCTGGTGACTAGCTTCGGGCTGGTGCTGGTTCCTGGTGCTGGTGGCTGGCGCTGGTGCTGGTGCCTGGTGCTGTTCCGCCGCCACTCCCTTCCCCCTTTTCCTCTCTCCCCCACAGCATTCCGCTGCCACTCCCTTCCCCCTTTCCCTCTCCCACCCGCAGCGTTCCGCCACCAATCCCTTCCCCTCCTCCCTCTCCCACCCACAGCGACCGCCGCTGCACACGCGAACAGTCCCGACGGGGGGGGGGGGGCAGGTGACGAGCAGGGGGCCGGGGGAATGCGACGGGCGGAGCGAGGCGAAGGGAAGGAAGAAAACGGGACGGGAGGGAAAGGGCCGCGACGATCGCCACCGTTGCCGTCCCCTTCATTCCCGATGCCGTCCCCCCCCCTTCCCCACTCTTGCGCAAACTCGGCAGCAGTCGTAGGCGCGAGCAGAGGTGGTGAGGGTGGGGAAATGCGACGGCCTGACGACGGGGGAAACGCGACGCGCTGGCGACGGGGGAAACGCGACGAGCTGGCGATGGGGGAAACGCGACGGGCTGGCGACGGGGAGAAAACGCGACGGGCTGGCAACGGGCAGGCGACAAGGGAAAAAACGACGGGCTGGCGACGAGGGAAAAAACGACGGGCTGGCGACGAGGGAAAAAACGACGGGCTGGCGATGAGGGAAACGCGGCCGGCTCGCCGCCGCGCCGGTCGCAGCGAGCGCCATGCCACTAATAGGTGGGCCCATTAACTTAGGCCAGGAACTTAATCGCTCTATACCATGTCAGAATCCCAGCCACTAACCACTGGGATAAAAGGGCTTGTTTGTATAGCAGGTGAGAGCGCCCATAAACCCCCAGGCCGACGTGCCTGTAACCCTTCCCTAGGATCAATCGGGGATCTCTAGTGGACCTTTGACACCCCCCCGCACAGGGATGCCCAAGGTGCACACACCGTGATTCGAACCCAAAACCTTGCTCTGATACCATGTCAGAATCCCAGCCACTAACCACTGGGATAAAAGGGCTTGTTTGTGTAGCGGGTGGGTGCGCCCATAACCCCCCAGGCCGACGTGCCTGTAACCCTTCCCTAGGAACAATCGGGGATCTCCAGTAGACCTTTGACAATGTACATAGAAGGGGGGTTCTTGGCGCAGAACTCGGCAGGAAGCGCAGCGTGGTAGCGGGTATCACTAGTGCGGAGGTGCGTAATGAGGTCAGCGACTGTGGCAAAAGCAGCTAGGTCAGGGAACAGGTACGGCAGCATGAGGCGGCTAAGGGCAGCAGTGGCAGGGGAGGAGTAGCACGCAACAACAGCACCGTACAGAGTCCTAGCGGTCTTGTACTGGCTAAAATGCGCACGCTAAGCAGACGGCAGGTGACTACGAACAGCAAGACGGGCAGCAGCATCGCGCGAGTTCCACTGCGAGCGAACAACAGTGTTAGCATTAGCAGCAGGTGCAACAAAGACGCCGGACGTGTGATCGAACAGTGAGACTCCGTCCCTAGAATCGCACTATAGAAACAACTGCAGATCACCGACCCAGACCTCGAAATCGACTGCCCGACCCTCAGCATCAAAGGTAAGTACATTAGGGGTAGCCATGATAGCAGTAGCAGTAGCAGTAGCAGCACCAGGAGCAGCGCGACTCGGCAGGGCGGCGCGGCTCGGTAGGGCGGCGCGGCTCGGCAAGGCGGCGTAGTTTGGCAGGGCGGCACGGGTGCAGCGGTGCGCTTACCAGGGCGGGATCGGGGTAGGGCCGCAACTGGAAGGGCAGGGCCGTGGCGCGCCAGTAGGTCAGGGCCGCGTCGGGTAGGGCCGCAACGAGGCGGCAGTGCAGGGCGGCGACGCGGGCGCAGGGTAGAGCCGCAACGACGGCGGCTGTAGGCAGGGCCGCGACTGCGGCCGTAGGAAGGGCTGCGACGGCAACACGCAAGGCCGCGACGGCGCCAAGCAGGGCCACAACGGCTTCAGGGAGGGCCGCAACGGCAGGGCGGCAGGGCCGCGACGGCAGGGCAGGGGCCGTGACAGCTTCAGGGAGGGCCGCGACGGCAGGGCGGCAGGGCCGCGACGGCATGGCAGGGCTGCGACGGCTCCAGGGAGGGCCGCGACGGCTCCAGGGAAGGCCCCGATGGCAGGGCGGCAGGGCCGCGACGGCTTCAAATAGGGCCGCGACGGCAGGGGCCGCGCCTACAGGGCCGCGTCTGCTTCAGGCAGGGCCGCAACTATAGGGCCGCGACGGTAGGGTAGGCGTACGGGGCGCAGGTGAGGCAGGCGCGAGGCGCGCGACAGGGCAGACAGGGGCAGGAGCGCGCTTCGGGCAGGGCAGGAAAAAAAAAATCTTAAGTGGTAGGCCCTAAAAAAACGGTCCCACTAGGGAACCCGCTCTATACCATGTGAGAGAAGTACGAGGAAAGAATGAACTAGGAAGCAGGTGGGTACAAGTAGAAAAAACTAAAAGTGTTGTACCCCATATTGTCTACCCCACTACATCCTACAATATAGTTCTCACAGGACACTACAAGGTTTTTATAGGCAAAACCTAACAATACTGTACCCCATAAGGAGTGCCCCACTACAGCCTACAATATGGTTCTGACACAACCCCATAGGCAAACTGGGGGACAAGCAAGAGAACAAGGCAAGGTCAAGCTTAGGGTGGATCACAACATCACCACACATTTTGAGCACAAGTTCAAGGCCACAAGGCCAGTTCACATGCAGGATTATAAATCAAGGTGAACAAGCAAGCCAGTGATCTCAACCTAGCAAGGGTAAGCATGCACGTGCAGGTATATATAGATCACAGTACAAGCAAAGTCAAGGGGTAAGAAAGTGAGGCCAGGTAGGCACAAGACCTAGCATAGTACAGAAACGTTGATGATCACAAGGCTGAAGTGCCTTGGTAAAGATATCAGCAGTGTTGGCCCGAGAGGCCATGTAAGCAAGACGAGGCTGACCACGCTGCTGCAACTCTCGAGCAAGGAAGTAGCGCAGAGCAATGTGCTTCATTCTGTGCTCCAGTCTGTGCTCCTAACACAAGGCCAGCATGGCCTTGTTGTCGACGTACAGAACTGGAGGAGAACGAGGTGCCTTTCCCAAGTCGGTCAGCAGATAGGTGAGCCAGCGTAACTCCTGTGCAGCCATGGCCCCAGCGTAGATCTCAGCCTCACAACAGGAGCTGAGAACAGAAGACGAGCGGGTAGACCGCCACGAAACAGAGCCGGAACCAAGGCTGAAGGTGTAACCCTGTGACGACCGCTGCGTAGCCAAGTCGTCAACCCAAGAAGCGTCTGCGTGATCAGTGAGGACAACTTGAGCCCGTCCTTCAAGCACGAGCCCCATGCCAGACGTGTTAAGATAAGAATGAAATCGATAGAAAATGTGAAGTACAACCCTAGATATAGCAAACCCTAATCATGCAAGGAAGTAGAAATGTAACACCTAGACTAACCTAAACAACACATATAAGATATATGCTGACACACCCCCATAGTCTAGGAGACGGTAACCCCGTGGAAAGACAACACATATCTCAGAGTGGGTCTCAAGGACCACACAGTCTGAGAGCAAGCAAGGGTCATATGACCAGTCAGCAAGAACAAGAACAAGCAAGGGTCACAAGACCAGTCCACAAGAACAAGACAAATCTCAGGGTGGAGCTCAAAGTCACCACACACTCCGAGAGCAAGCAAAAGAGCCACAAGGCCAGTTCACATGCAGGTATATAGCAAATATAATGAGATGCAAGAGTACAAGACAATAAGGACAAAGCATCTACGCAAGCAAGTGAGGACGGGCCCGCACAAGGCCAAGATGGGTGCAGAAACGCTGGTGATCACAAGGCGGTAACGCCTTGGTGAAGATATCTGCAGTGTTGGCCTCAGAGACCACACGTCAAACGAGTGCCTGACCACGCTGCTGCAACTCACGCAGAAGGAAATAACGAATCTGGATGTGCTTCGCCTTCCCAACTAGTCGGGGCTCCTCACACAACAGGACGGCAGACCTGTTGTCGGCGAACAAGACTGGATGAGAGCGAGGCCGCTCACCAAGGTTGGTGAGAAGGAAAGACAGCCAGCGAAGCTCCTGAGCGGCTATGGCCGTAGCGTACACCTCTGCCTCACAGCTGGAACCAGCGACTGACGACGCCCGAGTCGACCGCCACGAAACAACATCTGCCCCGAGGCTAAAGGAGTACCCCTGTGTAGATCGACGCATCTCCGCGTCGTCGGCCCACGACGAGTCCGAGTAACTTGTAAGTGTAACTGGCTGCTTCCCTCCAAGGACAAATCCCATGCCTAATGTACTCACCACATACTTCGCCACCCTCTTAGCACTATACCAGTGGGACGGTCGGTGTCTCCCAGGCGCAACAAAGCGCGCAAGTACGCTAAGAGGGTAAGCTAGGTCTGGGCGAGTACAGGTCATCAGGTACATGAGACAACCCACCAGCTCAGGATATGGACCACTAGACTCAAATGACTTGTCCGAAGGTGGAGCCGTGAGCCCATGATCCAAACCAAGAGGGGTGAGCTGTACCTTGGAGAACGGGAAGCAAAACCGCGTGAGGATCTGGTCGACCATATGCGACTAAGTCATCGTAATGGTGCGAGTTGCCCTGTCCCTGGTGATCTGCAGGCCAAGGTAGTGCTGCAGCTCACCAAGGTCAGTGCAAGTGTGTCTCCTCTGCAGTTCCTCCTTCACGGAGGCCAGCGCGCGTCGGTCGGGAGTGGCGAACACCAGGTTGTCGACGTAGACCAGGACAAAGAACGGGGTCGAGCCACGGCGAACGAACAGTGACGGGTCAATAGACGACGGAAAGAAGTCAAGCGCTGCAAGGATCGAGCGAAGTGTGTCGTGCCACTCACGTGGAGCCTGACGCAGGCCGTAGATTGGTCGACGCAGCTGCCACTGGGTCCCAGGTGGGAAAGAGCCAGTGAAGCCAGGCGGGCGACGCGGCCAAATCTGCTCGTGCAGGCTCCCCTGAAGG